GCAGTGAATATATGCCTCACACTCTCCCACAAACACTGGTCACTGAAGAAAATGCATTGTTTTGCTGCAATAAGGTTTTATTTCAGATCTTAGTTAAAATATGGGCAATGCTTTATCCACGGGAGAAAAATGCGGTAGAATAATGATGTACGTCTGGTAAGATACGATCTGTATTCTAACTTGTCCCTTACTTCCTCTATCACATTTAAGAGAATTTCACGATGTTTTAACACCATTTTTCCACACATACTAAGTAGGATGGTTTGGAAGTGCTGGATAGCTTCCAGAGTTATCAAGAGTTTTCTTCCAGCTGCATCTTGGGACTTCTGTACTCCCTACAGCATCAAAGGGAATGATTTCTAGACAGTCTCACAGCTCGATAGATGTCCTGGTTGAGGAAGGCCTCTTCTTACGTATCCGTAATCATCAGAGTCCATGGTTTTCCTGGATTAAGGGACTGTTCTAGGTACAGATATGTGGCTTCCATTAGCAGAAATTTTCAAGCAGGGAGAAAATTGTTAATAATTTATGAAGATAAGGAAGAAACTTGGTAGAAAATATGGAAGGAAATCTGTTAAAAGCTATAACTGTCAATGGTGCCATGGAAATAAAATTATGCTCTTGGAACTGAACAGAAAGAGATGCAGGATAATACCACATGAGGAGAAGGACAAATGTCAGAGAACATTGGGTGTGCCTCCCAAACATGCTAATTCCGAACTCTGAAACTTCTAACAAATTGCCTGGAGAGTCAGACTCAGAATAAGACCCATTTCATGGGGTTATTGTGAAGATTAATTTAGACAATGTGAGTGAAAGTTTCAGACACACAGCAGGTATTCAGAGAAATAGGGTGACACAAAGAGGGTTTTAGTTTTTCAAAGAACCCTAAAAGCAGCAACTCCAAAAGAAATGGAAATGGTTTCATTTTCTTTCTATGCTTCTTTTTTTTCCCTACATTTTCATCTCTTTGATGAGTTCTGCTTTAAGTCATTCCATTTTATAAATATATGTATACTCTTGCAATTTAGAAAGTAACTTCTCTCTAGGGTATGTCTGAAAATTAATTATACTTGTATTGTTAGTATTGATATTAAATTATAATTTATTTTATTAGTAATACTTTATCTTTTGTAATTTAACTAAAATAATACTAACAACTTTTAAAATAATAAGGTAAAAAAGCAGGCATAGGCTTTTACTCTGTTTGTATAGTACCGATAGTCTATTTCTTTTTTATCTGACATGCCCAGTAGAGATTAATGCATACAATAAGAAAATATTCAATAAATTCGTGATGACTTGAGTAGAAAAAATAATCCCCTTCTAAATCTGGTACTTTCTAATTCTGTTCTTATTTTTATCCCTAGTATCCAATAATACTGTTGAATCTAAACAACAACATCAACAACTTCAATTATATACAACAGTGGGGATAAGCCCAGACTCAAGCAAAAAACTTGAAGCAATAAGTTCCAAAAGTAATCATAACAGAATTATTATGTATACATGGAATATTTTTCATGTAGCTATTTTTCATTTGTATTTCTCATGTCAGTTACCTTTTCATAGGACACATAGTCTTAGGAAGAGTTTTATTATTTTGTCATGATTCATAAAAATCATATTCCTTTCCAACCAAACTAAACTATTTATAATAACTAAACTATTTATAATAAGCATTCTTTCTAGAAGCTAACTCTACTAGATTCTCTATTATCTGTTTAGATTAAACAGTATTAGATTCAACACATTCAACAGCATTATTCTAATACTGTTTAGATTCAATAGTATTATTGGATACCAGGGATAAAAATAAGAACAGAATTAGAAAGCACCAGATTTAGAAGGGGATTATTTTTTCTACTCAAGTCAACAAGAATTTATTGAATATTTCCTTATGGACATTTTCCTTTTGTTCACTTTTTTAAGCGGTAAAAATGAATATAATTGTTATTATGATTATGAAATAGTAATTAGAAGTGGTTAGCACAGCCCTGAGTGCACTCTCCTCTCTCTCAAAGATATGTTCATATACTCTCTCTCAATATGTGTGTGTGTATATATATTAAATTATATACATATATGTGTGTATATATAATTTTATACATATATGTTTATATATGTGTGTTATGTATTTATAAAGGTCTCTCTCCATATATATGTGTGTGTGTGTGTATATACATGCACGTACATATATATGTGTGTGTGTATATATATATGCTATCTAAACTAGCAACAATCTAGCTGGCTCCCAACCTTAACAGAGGGCTGTGTAACACCAATCATCAGAAAACTGTCATAGGTATTGGAAATAAGTGATTCATTATAGGGAGCCTTTGAGATCCAGATATCTAAAAAATGAAAAAGAAGGAGAGTAAGAAGGAAAACTAGGAGACAGAATACAAAAGAGGAGAGGGAAAGCAAGACATAGAAAAAATGTAAATCTATTTTCCAGCTTCACAGAATTATATTTTTAAAGGAATTAATAGCAAAAATGAGTAGTTTACAGACCAAATTCCTACAACTTGTTGGCAAGGAATCTATTTAGTTTGTATATGCCATTTATCCTGGCATTGTGAAAGAAACTCTGCCAATGATGATTAGGGGAAACATAATGTATTTCAAAAAACATAGCTTCTTCATCCAAGGCAGATGAGACTGATTGGAAATAGTTTCCTGTGGTGTTGGAAAATGGAGGGAATTATCTAATTCTGAAAATTTGTAGCCAGAGTCTTGGGTCCCGGGGGCCTTCTCCTTTGTAACACTAAAATCTGTTTTTAAAGCAACTTGATGCACAGCCCTCTCCCAGTCTTCACCACAGACTTTGCTTCATTTTAGTCCCTGCAGAGATTTCCAGACTTTAGCTTCTCAAAAATCATCTTCTTTTGAACTAGAAATTTAATGCAAGACAGTGTATTCTACGGTCATAGATCATGTCTGGCAACATGGCCTTTTGAACACATTTTAGAGCTCTATATTGAAGATTAGACCTCAGGAGTCACAATGGCTGTGGTATGCCTCAGGTTTTGCGTAATTTCTTACAGGCTACACAAGCTTTGAGTTTCATGATCAGAGAACATTTCTTCCTAATCCCCATTATTTTTCCTTATGCCTAAAACATTTATTCTTTCACAGATGGTTAACCACCTTCTCCTTGACCGGTTTATCTGCTCTTATACTTAATTAGCTATTTTCATTGATGAAAAGGGTTTCGCCATTTTGTCAAGACTAGTAGTAGGATCTCTTCATTTATTCATTAATGAAACTATTATTGACCTTCAAATAATGTCCTAATATTTTCCAGTATTTCAAATGTATATTTAGGCACTATTTTTCTACCATATAGTCCCTAAAAAATAATATGTGCTTTTCAAAAAGAATATTGTTGGCCAAGCACAGTGGCTCATGCCTGTAATTCAAGCACATTGGGAGGCCAAAATGGGTTAATCAGCTGAGGTCAGGAGTTCAAGACCAGCCTGACCAATATGGTGAAACCCCATCTCTACTAAAAAATACAAAAATTAGCTAGGCATAGTGGTGGGCACCTGTAATCCCAGTTACTCAGGAGGCTGAGGCAGGAGAATCACTTGAACCCAGGGGGTGGAGGTTGCAAAGAGCCAAGATCATGCTATTGCACTCCAGCCTGGGCAACAGAGCAAGACTGTGTCAAAAAAAAAAAAAAAAAAAAAAAAAGAAAGAAAGAAAGAAAGAAAGAAAGAAAGAAAGAAAGAAAGAAAGAAAGAAAGAAAGAAAGAAAGAAAAGAAAAGAAAAGAAAAGAATATTATTTCACCTCAGGTTCACAGTATTGAATGGATCATAATCCTTGATACACATCATAATCTCTTTCATGCCAGTTATGTATGTGTTTATCCATTAATGAAATTACACCTATGAAAACACGATGCAATACAAGAACCGAACAATTTATAAAGCATCCATATGCTTATGTGCTCATCTTCACAACTCCCTTGCCTCCCCTCACCTGAGGTTACTTAGAACATCTTACATTTTCTCTTTTTTATTTCATACACACATCTTCACTTACACAAGTTCTTGCAAAGCACACTGTTGGTGTTTTATTGCTTTTCACCTCATAAAAACTATGCTGAATTGATCCATTTTGGACTTTTCCTTCATTATATTTTACTAAGATTTTTCTATATGATTTTATATAGTTGTACTTCATTTATTATGGTTCAGAATAATATCCCATTGTTTTGTCAATGGGCATTATAAATTTATCTTTGTATGCATATGCAAGAGTTTATCTTAGGTTGTAAATGTAATTGAAATCACTGGGCCATGGAATGTGTGAATGTTAACTTTTGCAGGATAAGGGCAAACTGTTTTTCCATAATGATTATACTAGTATTCGGTTCCATCAGCGGTGTTTAAGAAATCCTCTTAACTAGGCTCATGTTGTAAGGACCTTCTAAGGCTGTGTCACGAGCACATCCTTAACTTAGGCAAAATAAACTTTCTAAATTGAGATCTGTTCTCAGATACTTTTGAGTTCATACTAGTTATTACTGGAAACAGTGAAGAAGGCTTTAAAAATAAAACTTATCAAATTTAGATGAGATTAAATGAAAGCTCTAGAATAAAGTTGTGAACCCCAAAAATCTGAGACAGATCTCAGTTAATTTAGAATGTCACTTTCTGACAGGCCCAGGAGCCCCAAGTTTATCTTGGAACCTCAGAGAGGAATTCACCCAACTCATAGGTATTTGATGGTACAAATCTATGGCTGGGCTTGGCTTTAAAAAAATTGTATCTGAGATTCCTTCTATGCAACAAAGTTCCATCAAAACCAATATAAAAGCCTATGTAAAAATAAATAATTATTCTTGCTGCACTCTATACAAATAATCAGGACAAGTATAGTAAAGCGAATCAGTTCTTTAAAAAAAAGAAATCCTCTAAATTCGCATAATGTTTATTCAGAAAATGTGATGCTCTGTCTTTTTTCAGATGACTTTAGAACAGACTGGACTAAATGGAAGAAGCAAATCAGTCTGTGGTGTTTGAATTCATCATGCTTGGGCTTTGTGATTCATGGGAGCTCCAGGACTTCCTCCTAGTGATATTTTCTTCACTTTATTTGATTACCATTTTAGGCAACATCTTCATTGTGATCATAATTATCACTAACCTCCATCTCCATTCCCCTATGTACTTCCTGTTAGCCAATCTCTCATTCATTGACTTCTGTCTTTCCTCAGTCACTACCCCTAAAATGATCACAGACTTTCTCAAGGAAAATAAGACCATTTCCTTTGGAGGGTGTATGTGTCAAATTTTCTTTGGACATTTCTTTGGAGGGGGCGAGATGGTACTGCTTGTGTCAATGGCCTATGACCGTTATGTGGCGATCTGCAAGCCACTCCATTACTCCAGCATCATGAACAGATATATGTGCATTGGGTTAGTGATGACATCATGGATTATTGGCTTTGTGCATTCAGCAAGTCAACTAGTTATGATTGCAAAGCTGCCCTTTTGTGGACCCAGGGAATTGGATAGCTTTTTCTGTGATATTCCATTGGTAATTAAGCTAGCCTGCATAGACACCTACATTCTAGAAATGTTGATAAATGCTAACAGTGGGGTACTGGCAACCATCTGCTTCATTCTGTTGCTGAGCTCTTACTCTCATATTCTGTTTACTGTCTGCCTTCACTCTAAGGGTGGAGCATCCAAGGCTCTCTCTACCTGCACTGCCCACATCACGGTGGTAGTGTTATTCTTTGGGCCTTGCATCTTCATTTATTTGTGGCCAGTCAGTATCCCCTGGGTGGACAAGTTTCTTGCTGTATTTTATGCAGTCATCACACCTCTCCTAAATCCAGCCATTTACACCCTAAGAAACAAAGAGATTAAAAATGCCATAAAGAGACTAGTATGTTAGCATTTAGATTGCAGTGGGTATTTCACTGTCTCACTCTAGAACGTTCACAGTAATGTCCCTAACTTAGTCACATCTGACCTGTTACTTTGAACTGTGAAACATTACCTAGTTCACAGATGTAGTCTCTATCTCCAGATGAAAGATCTGTGTCGATTCTACTCAATTCCACAATCATTTATTAATCATTCAATGCTAAATTATTTCCTGTCTGGGAAATCTGACCGGTCTTTATGACTATAATTTTGACTGTGCTCAGGATGACTTGAAATTAATTAATGACATTTATTACTCTTGGTGCTGCTACTTCCAACACCCACTACCATATGCTGAAATTTTCTATTATGCTACGCATTTCTTTGAGCAAAGTATGTCACATAAGTCTTCTCTTAATTTTTTTCAATAAGCCAGTGAATTATTGCTATCTTTATTTTTACAAATGGATAAATTAGTCTTTCAATTAATAATCCCTCTACCTAACTCACCTGAAGAGACACCTAGAAAGGTAATTGTTAAACATTCCCCATCACGCTCAGAATAAGACCGAATCAGTCATAATATAGAGAAAATGTTATTCCTTCAACTTCATGCCTTGGCCATTTGCAAAACCATGTAATTGTCTTTAGGAGATATGCAATAAAAAGAAAGACGAGGCTGGGTGCGGTGGCTCACGCCCGTAATCCCAGCACTTTGGGAGGCCGAGGCAGATGGATCACGAGGTCAGGAGATCGAGACCATCCTGACTAACACGGTGAAAATACAAAAATTAGCTGGGCGTGGTGGCGGACACCTGTAGTCCCAGCTACTTGGGAGGCTGAGGCAGGAGAATGGTGTGAACCCGGGAGGCGGAGATTGCAGTAAGCGGAGATCACGCCACTGCACTCCAGCCTGAGTGACAGAGTGAGACTCTATCTCTAAAATATAAATAAATAAATAAAAAGATGAGTGTACTAACAATCTTAGGGTATTACTTCTCTTTCTTTTAATAAATGTGTTGGGGGTTCATTATCTATACCAGATAAAATAAGGGACATTGTGTTATGTTCTAAAAATGACTAGGGACCCCAAAGACCTTCTGTTTAAGTAGGTTATGTCTGTTGAAATTTATCAGTTTAGAAATCTTAAAAAATTAAATGCTTATGTACTAATGCTTAAAAATAACACTAATAAGGCATTGTTAGTTACCACAAACATCATATTTTAGGAAAAGTAACAATATGTTCAAAAATGTAATAAAGAAGAACAGAATGGTTTTACCTATTTGCAAATTCTTTTAGTATATGGCTGAATAGAAGCAGTTGAGTTCTCCCATCTGCTCTGCATTACATCTGTTGTAACATGTGCTTTCATTAGAACTATATAAAGGCCATCTGGCCTGACAGAGATATGCAGTTGGATAAGAGAGGAGTGTTTTCATTTTCGTGCAAAAGCAATGGTGAATAAAACTACAGGTGAAATTCAGCACAAAGCAAGACAGTGGCATCCTGTACTAGATATTGTAGCAGTCCTCACTATCACATACTCACAGTAAAAAAGTAACAACTGTAATAACCTTTTAAAATTATGTCTACAAATATGATAATGCCAGATGATATCATTGTTTGTTGTTGCTATTTTGGTTGTGGTTTAAATAGTCAATATAGTATGTTTCTCCTTTTAGATGATTTTCATTCCATATTTACCGTAATCTGGGGAAGTTTTTTCCAGCCTAGAAAAGCTTCCTAGATTTCTTCTCAGTTATTTTTTATCTGAAAGTGTCTTTATTTTTTCTTCATATTTGAAATATTTTTTTCATTGGATCTGGAATTCTAGTGCATTAATTATTTGAAATATTTTTTTCATTGGATCTGGAATTCTAGTGTGTTAATTTTTCTGAACACTTGAACTGGATAAAGAAAATGTGGTATATACACACCATGGAATCCTACTCAGCCATTAAAGGGAATGAAATCATGTCCTTTGCAGTGACTGGATAGAGCTGGAGGCCATTATCCTAAGCAAACTACTCAGGAATAGAAAAACAAATGCTGCATGTTCTCATTTATGAGCAAGAGCTAAACATTGAGTGCACATGGACACAAAGAAGGGAACAACAAACCCCTCAGCTTACTCCAAGGTGGAGGGTGAAAGGAAGGAGAGGATCAAAAAACTACCTATCAGGTAGTATGCATATCACCTCAGTGACCAATTAATCTGTACACAAAATCCCCATGATGGGCAATTTACTTATGTAACAAACCTGCACCCCTGAACCTAAAATAAAAGTTAAAATAATAATAATAAAATGTTATTCCAATGCTTCTGGCTTTCACATTTTCTATTGAATAGTCATCAGTTTTATTGCTGTTCCTTTGAAGATACTAACTTCCTTTTTCTCACTACCATAAATATGTTCCTTTTGTCTTTGGTTTCAGCAAAGTGACTACAATAAGCCTATGATATGGTTTTCACTGTATTCATCTCTCTTGTTTACCGCACTTCTTGAATCTATGAGTCCTACCTTTTATCTTTTAAATTAAAAGCACATTATGAACACTTTTCCATGGTATTATTTTTCTATATATAAGGCTGAATCCCTCTCCCAACTGGATGTGTAACGAATAATTTCTCTGTTTTGGGGGATTTGGGTTATTTCTATTTTTAAAATAAATAATTGTAAAATATTTGCTCAATAGCTAAATATTTAACTCATTTATTGTTATTACCTTAAGAAAATTTTTTTGTAATTGTATTTTAGTCATATGGCAATTTTTAAGCATTTGATATATGTTTTGAAATTATAATCTGTAGAAGATTTATAATTTATACTATGAATTGCAAGGTACAATGGTGTCTATTTTCCTAAAGGCTTACCTATGACATATTATTCATTTATTTGAAATTTTTACAGTGTTTCACAAACATATAGCAACTCTATTTTTTATTTACATTTCTTTGATTACAGATGAGTTTTAATGTTCTTCATATATTCATTGACTATTTGGATTTCTTATTTTGTCATAAACATGAATTTGTTTATTTTATATTTGGTATACCTTTACATTTAACAATTATTTCCTATATTTATTTTTATTTAAATAATTTATACAAATGATTTAAATTTTTGAATCTTAAAGTGTCAGAAATTTTTTTTCTGCATTATTTGCACAGGGGATGATATACTTAGATTTTTCTCACTCAAAGACCTATTTGATGTGGTCCTTTGTTAGATTATTAAGTGGTCTCTCTCCTTTCCCTCTGAATTTACCTGCAATCACCACCTCCTTGACTAGAAGTCAATCTACACAAATCATTGTAAACATCTGTTGACACAAGTGTACAACACTTGGGTAAGAGACAAGCTTCTTACAACCTCCGCTACCACCATCACCCATGCCACCCCAGCTACCCAGGAGGCAGTGAGCCCACACAGCAGCCCAAAACACCACTACTACAACCAGCATTTAAGAAAGACACCACACTAAGACTGTTTATAACCAAGGAAATCATACAGAGACTTCACCGCTGAACACACCCAGAAGCAAAGCCAAACAATCTTACTCAATATACATCATAGTCATATCCTTAAGAGGATAACTTCACATATCAATATTAAACATGAATATAAATGAATTAAATGCTCCACTTAAAATATATAGATTGGCAGAATGGATTTTAAAAATCAATCCAACTATACATTGTTTATCAGAAACTCACCTTAGTTGTAAAGACATTTATACACTGAAGGTAAAGGGTTAAATACCTTTTTCCAAAGATATTCCACACGATGGAAGACTTCTCAAAAAAAAAAAAACTTCTTAGATTCAATAAATGAATTCAGTAAAACTGATACAGTTTTGAACTGATACAGTTTTTACTGAAATGAATTCAGTAAAACAGGATACAATATCAATGTACAAAGATCATTAGCATTTTTACACCAATAACAATCAAGGCAAGAACCAAATCAAGAAGGCAATTTCATTTACAATACCTACAAAAAATATTTAATAAAATACCTAGAAATATATTTAACCAATGAGGTGAAAGATCTCTACAAGGAAAACTAAAAACACTGATGAAAGAAATTGTAAACAATATAAATAAATGAAAAAAAAATCCTACGCTCATGGATTGAAAGAATCAATATCATAAAAATAACCATACTGTCCAAAACAATCTACAAATCCAATACAATTCCTATCAAAATACCAATGTCACCTTTCATATAATTAGAACAAACAATCCTAAAATTCGTATGGAACCAAAAATGAGCTGAAATAGCCAAAGCAATCTTAGCAAAAAGAACAAAGCTGGAGGCATTACATTACTCGACCTGAAATTATACTACCAGGCTATAGTACCTAGAACAATATGATACTAGTATAAAAACAGACACATAGACCAATGGAACAGAATAGATAACCCAGAAATAAAGTCACATATCTACAGTTGGCTGACCTTTGACACAGTCAACAAAAACATACCCTGGGGAAAGGACACTCTCATGATTAAATGGTGCTGGGAAAACTGGACTGCCAGATGCAGAAAAATGAAAACCGCATCCCTTTATCTCACTGTACACAAAAATCAACTCAAGATGGATTAAAGACTTAAATGTAAGATCTGAAACCATTAAAATACTAGAATAAATTCTAAGGAAAACTCTTCTGGACATTGGTATAGTCAAAGCATTCATGACCAAGACCTCAAAAGCACAAGCAATAAAAGCAAAAATAGAAAAATTTGACTTAAGTACTCAACATAGTACTTAACTAAGATTTACTAAATTCATGTATCAAATCTAAGACTTGTTGGGGCGGAGCAAGATGGCCGAATAGGAACAGCTCCAGTCTCCAACTCCCAGCGCGAGCGACACAGAAGACCGGTGATTTCTGCATTTTCAACTGAGGTACTGGGTTCATCTCACTGGGGAGTGCCCGACGATCGGTGCTGGTCAGCTGCTGCAGCCCGACCAGCAAGAGCTGAAGCAGGGCGAGGCATTGCCTCACCTGGGAAGCGCAAGGGGGAAGGGAATCCCTTTTCCTAGCCAGGGGAACTGAGACACACAACACCTGGAAAATCGGGTAACTCCCACCCCAATACTGCGCTTTAAGCAAACAGGCACATCAGGAGATCATATCCCACACCTGGCCGGGAGGGTCCCACACCCACGGAGCCTCCCTCATTGCTAGCACAGCAGTCTGCAATCTCACAGCAAGGCAGCAGCAAGGCTGGGGGAGGGGCGCCCGCCATTGCTGAGGCTTAAGTAGGTAAACAAAGCTGCTGGGAAGCTCGAACTGGGTGGAGCTCACAGCAGCTCAAGGAAACCTGCCTGTCTCTGTAGACTCCACCTCTGGGGACAGGGCACAGTAAACAATAACAAACGCAACAGAAACCTCTGCAGACGCAAGCGACTCTGTCTGACAGCTTTGAAGAGAGCAGCGGATCTCCCAACACGGAGGTTGAGATCTGAGAAGGGACAGACTCCCTGCTCAAGTGGGTCCCTGACCCCTGAGTAGCCTAACTGGGAGACATCCCCCA